ACATATGACATTTGTGTTTGAGGGCGTGTTGATCGATACATTGAGGGACATTTTGTGATAGGTGGAAAAGCCATTTTGGGGGGTAATACTGTGTTTCTTTGAAAGGAGACTTCGACTAAATCTTACCAGTTATACGCCAAAGGAGTTCGTGAGCAAATTGTGAATGCATCATTAAGACAACTCTGTTCTATGGAAGCATATATATATCTTGACTTTTGGATTTGGAATTATGCGCTTGAATCATGAAAGGCATTGAAATGCTAGATTTTGCAAATTCTTGATGGCAGAGTAACACTTACTTTAACCTGTATTATATAGATTTTTAAATTTAATTAAATTGTGTTTACACTTACTCTTTTATTGATTCACTTTTTTTTAGATTTGGGACCAATCCTCAAGAAATCGTTAACCTTCCATCATACAATATACACAATGTCAATATTGAATGAAATTACCTCTACAGTTTATCCACAATTGAATATGATAGAGACGGTCAACCCCAAATTGGTTTAACTGAACGCAACAATTCTATCTGCGCGTAACGATGATGTCAGTGACATTAATACTACTGCGTTGAATATCTTTCCAGGGAGATTATATACTTTCTTGCAGCAGATAAAATGTCTGAAATAATGAAATTGATCCTACCATTACAAATAGATATTCCTAATGAATATTTAAATTCATTGGATCCTCCTGGGTTGCCAACTTTTAAGTTAGAGTTGAAAATGGGTGTCCTATAATATTGTTGAGAAACATTGCACCGAAAGATGGACTATGTAATGGTACAAGATTGATGGTTACTAGGTGCGGGCACTCGCATAATTGAAGCTCAAATTTTAACTGGAGAAAAAGTTTGGCAATTTGGCATTCATTACCAAGGATATCTTTGACACCATCTTCTTCAGAAATGCCTTTCCAAATGACAAGACGTCAATTTCCAGTCCGATTGGCATATGCCTTGACATTAATAAATCTCAAGGACAATCTGTGAAATTTGTTGGGGTTGATTTGCGTATACCAGTGTTACCCATGGGCAATTATATGTGGCATTGTCTAGATGTACATCATTTGATCGTATAAGTATTCTCCCTCCTAAAGATAATTTGGATTCTACTACAAATATTGTTTATCCTGAAGTGTTGCTGTTAGTACTCTATGCAGATTAAATGAACGTTTTTATTAGAAGGTAACCACGTAGATTTATTTCTGTTGATTATATAACTTTTTAAAAAATTTCAATTTAATAATAATTTGAAATTTGGACTTTTGTTGGATTGGACCGAAAAAATCTATAGAGCTTAAAAGGAGAAATTACGACTTACCTTGCTTCGATGGGGATGTAATAAGGTATTTCAATCTTAAAAATATTTTGACATGTATATTCCAACACATGTTACTAATCTATATTTTTTTTGTTTCCACAAATTACCAGATTGTTGTGCATATTCCTCATTGGGGATACATAAAAGTTGATACAAAGACTTTTTGAAAAGTAATGAGGAGGAAGTTTGGGCAAACGCATATTTGAAGACATTGTTATTGACACATCTTTTGTAAAGCATAACATATTTTTGGTGTATGACAATATAATTTTTTTGTGTATGACATGTTAGTGACACATCTTTTGTAAAGCTTTAACCCACTTTTTGTAAAGTTTAACCTACTCTTTTTGTGTATGACAGTATAAACTTTATTTCTATTTTTTGTTCAGTGTTTACACTTTTTTTTACTGCCTTTTATATTTTGATATGCAATATAACTTTAAATCTTAAATGTTTGTTTCTTAATTTGCATTAAGATTAGGGAGAGTTGTCATTTTATTTGAGTTTTGTAGAGCGTGTAATACAAGCAAAATATTTCAATATATTTTTTTTAGTATCTTTATTCAAAAAATGACATAAACTGATAAATTTCAACATAATACGTATAAATTATAACTGCATTTTAATTTTAAAATTATTTACACCGTGCCTTTAGGCACGGGCATACACTAGTATTATATATTTAGGCTCTTATTTATTCTCATACTTTTGTCATTGTATCTATATATAATAGTTAGTGATTGAACTTTTGTATAATATAAAGTCATTAATTATTAAATAAAATGTAAAAATCTCAGTTTTAGTAGTATTTAAAAATATGAAATATATTGGATCATACTTAAAAATTTACAAAATTGATCAATATTTATTTGTAATCCATAAATATGATCATGAAAAAAAAAATATACGTTATCGGTAAGTTTTTTTCAAAATTGTGCGAAAAATAAAAAATTTCACGGTTCCGGTTACCGCAACCGTTACACTACGGCATTTACACCGCCAACCGCAACCGCGTCACCGCTACCGTTATGACGATCGCAACCGCTTTTCAGAACATTGCTTTAGGAGTTTTGCAGGAATGCCTCTGCTCTAGCCCATTTCTAACTGTTTTTCTACAAAACATATTAACAAGACTATATTAGGGTTTAAGTAGGTAAAAAATTGTACACCTCAAAAACCAAAGTGTCTTAAATTCTATTTAGATTTACTTGCATGAGTAAACAGAGCTATTCCCACATTTATTGTGACGGTCTTCAAACGACAACCATTTTCGAACAACAATTCTTATCTAGCTAGCTGCCTTTACCTTATTTATTATATTATATTATTGATAAGTAAAAGAGCAAAACCCAGTTACCCTTACAACCATGTTTAAATACAATACAACCAAATCCCATGTTTTGTCTTATGAAATTGCCAACAATCTAATATTTTAGATCTCAGCTAAAATGCCGTGAAAGGGTATACATTGTAACAAAACACAATTGTTATCTATGTGTGTATATAACTATATAAATATATTATTTGGTAATTTACTTAGTTTATGGAAAAGGTTGTAGATGCCTTTTATATTGTCTCCTTTTCGTCTATTAAATTCAGTTGGTGATGTCATAATGACCATTTCTTTAGGGAGTTTTCTTATCTCACCTCCTAATCTAACATTATGATGGATGCTGGATATCTTATGAAAAAGGTTTGGTGTTGGTAGCCGTAGGTTGTTGATGAGGATTAGTTTCTGAACTATTTTTATTAAACTCAAGGAAAGGGGAAAAAATAATATACTTTGTAATGGGGGTGCTCTAGTGGATCAGTTGTTGCTCTGATCCGACTTCAAGTATCATTTCTACCACTTCACAACATTTGGAAGTTATCTTCAGTGACACTATGTTTGGATTTGGGGTTTGAGGGGGAAGCGAAACATAGGGATGGGATGGGTTAATATAGCATCCTTGTTTTGGATTGTTTTGAGAAAACAATGGAAAGTATATGGAGGGTTTGTGAAGGGAAAGAGGGTCCACAAATGAGCGCTTCCCGTCTCCTCTAAAATTGCGAGGAAATGGAGGGGAAGCGAAGTGCTGGTTTTTAAATATAATTTTAACACCAATTATACCCCTCATTTTACGAAAACATAAGTATATAAGGGTCCGTTTGGATAGATATGGATTTCAAATCAAAGGATTTGAGGTTAAATGAATAGATAAAAAAGATGTATATTTTAGAAGGATCCTTATATTTAGAAAGATAATTCTTGGCATGATTTCAAATAACTAGTTTTATATAATTATTGCAAATCTATTATGATAAAACTATTTAACTCAATCTTAAATTACATAAATAAACTAGCATTTCTAAATTTGAGTTATTTTCCTTGAATGATCAAGGTCAAATCCCTTTATTTTTGAAATCCATGTCTATCCAAACAGCCCCTACTTTTTAAACATTACCTATTTGGCTTTTGTACCTACCTTCCCTTTATAATTATTGTCTAACCAAACAAAAGGAGGGAAAGGTCACCCTACCTACCCCTTGGTTAATTATTATCGAACCAAACAAGAAGAGGGGTATCTCCCCTCCCTTCTCTTTCCATCACTAATTTATACTTCCCTTCACTCCCCTTTCTGTGTATCTAAATGTAATGCAAGTGTATAGGATTTACAGTTGATTGATCTCTTTTGTACTTTTATCGGGTTGCATTTTTTATTAGGATTGCTGATGCTGAAGAAAACTTAGGTGAAAGCGAAATTAGAGAAGCCCATTTAGCCAAGTCATTGTTTTTCATACAAATTGGCGACAAGCATAGTTGTCAAATCGGGATTCGAATCGTGAATCGAAATGGTATTGTACCGAATCGCGAATCGAATCCAATTGTGAATCGTAAAGATTCGGTCACCTTTTTTTAATTACATAGAAAATATATCTACACACTTAGATATTAAATATATCTAATAAATATGAAATATTTAGACACAAATCACCAAAAATATTGTTTTAAATGATGATCATGTGGTCTAAGTAAGAAATTTAAGAAGTTAACATTGATTCCAATGTTTACCACTTCACCTTTTTCCCTTTTAGATACTATTTATTATCAACCGTTCTTAATGAAGAAAGCAAACAAAGAAAAACTTTCAATTTCCAAGTCACAATAACTCAAAAACAATGTTTTTAATTTTTATAAGGTTAAAAAACCAAAATCTTCATACTTTTTCAAAAATCTCACTTGATGCCTTCAAAAAATTCATTTTGTAAATGCAAGTATTTAGATAAAATTGAATATGTAAGTCTAGAATATTGTAGAGAGAGAGAGTTTTTCTTCTTCTTTTTTCCGCTAAAGTTTAAGTATTTGAGAGTAAATATGGAGGAAGAGAAAGTCAAAAGATGACATATAGTAATCCTAGAGACCTTAAAAAGGTTGTATGAACCATTTTCTAACAATAAAAACTCAAAAAAGAAAGCCAAATATCGATTTTAGCGAATTGAATTGACTCACGATTCATCGATTCGCGATTCATCGATTCGATTCACCGATTCACCTACGATTCATAGCTATTTGCGATTCACACAACCTGTCGAATTGATTACCTACTGAATCGAATCATACGATTCGAATTGCAAATCGTACGATTCTAATAACAGAAGTGACAACGTATATAACTGTTATGTCTTTCAATTCTTTAATCATCTGCTTGTTTTTTACGCATTTCTGTAGACTTCTTTTATTCCTAACTTGTCATGATGTAAACCCAGGAGAAGGCTTTGGAACAGCTCAAGTTAACAGAAAGCAAGACAGTAGCTGTTGGGCAGAAAATGGACCTGGTTTTCCATACGCTACAGATTGGCTTTTTCTATATGCATTTCGATCTTATTTCCAAGAGCATTGATAAAGCAAAGAAGTAAGGGGTGGCCTGAGGAGGGAGGTGATTGGGAAAGGAAGAATCGTCTAAAGGTGTATGAAGGCTTATACTACATGTCTACTCGAAACTTCAAGAAAGCCACCAGTTTGTTTCTTGATTCGATCTCAACTTTCACAACTTATGAACTTTTCCCATATGACAACTTCATATTTTACACGGTTTTTACCAGCATCATATCGTTGGATAGAGTTTCCTTGAAACAGAAGGTACGCACAATTGCACATTAGGGTTTTGGCATGGAATTGTTTTCCCCTTGATAATTTTTTAGAGAGATGCTTGGCTGGCAGTATTTTGGTTTACTTTTCTTTTTTTTGATCGTCTTTACTTTCCTTTCCCTTCCTTTCCTTTCCTTTCCCTTTTTTGTTTTTCCTGGTGATAATGAAAGAAAAAAAGGGAGGGGGAGGGATTGTTTATGTGGCATGTTACTATGCCTGTGTTGCTAGATGTTGCAGGTAGTTGATGCTCCTGAGATCTTGACAGTTATTGGGAAAATCCCGCTTCTGTTGGGGTTTTTGAACTCTTTATATGATTGTCAGTATAAGTCATTTTTCTCAGCATTTGGTAAGTATTTATCTTGTATATCTCATATTTTACCCTTGCAGTATTATATATTACATAGATAGGTAAACAAAATGTTGGACGTGTTCATATTCTGCCTTTGATTATAGAGTTTCTTGTTTTTTACCTTCTTTTTCAGCTTGTGCTTTTGTCTTGGTTGCCATAATATAATGCAAATTTCTCTTGTAGTTTTATTTTTATTTTTATTTTTTGGTGGGGGTGCTATGTTATCCTTCTTGGATAAAAACTGTGTGGATTGTAATTGCAAGTCATCTTAAATATTTTAATTTTTTGATTTGTTCCCTTCCCAACATATTTCACGATTGTCTAGCATATATATATATATATGGCTTCTCTAAAATGAGCCACATCAAGTAAGCATGGAATAGAAATTAAATAAAGCCCAAGTTCTTGAAAATTAAGTGGTTAATTTCACATGGAATCTTTGAAAATATTCAAATCTGTTTACACTGCCCATAGAATGAACTGGAAATTGAATGGCTGAAGTAGTCTAATCATAATAGATTTGAGTATGTGGGATCTACATATAAAGGAGGATCACAAGCCCTTTCTCATGCTGACACAAGTACATACAATGCATGTATAAATGCCCCACTACTGTGAAGCTGATCAATAGCTGAAACTATTGTTCCAATCTGAATACGTTATCTTATAGTTTATTCCAATCTGAAATTTTGTCCAATTGATTTTCAGCTGGCCTGATGGAGTAAATAAAATTGGACCGTTATTTGCATCCCCACTTCCGGTATACATG